CAAGCTCAGCTCTACTACTTCCTGCTTCCTCCCCAAGGGAGGGTGGCCTTTCACGGCTGCCCGCCTTTGCTTCCTTGTTGTGTCCAGTTTTCCTTCTCAGCATTTGCACAGACAATTCCCTGGTCCTTCCCCAGTCCCAGTTCCCTGCATGCTCCATCTGTAAACTGAGGATAGCAATAAGAACACCTTGCTTACGATGCTGGTATTTAGATGTAATGAGACCATCCACTGCCCACTCACAGTACTCAATAAGAGTGCAGCATACCCTGCCTGTCACATGCTACTCATTCTTTAAGGCCAGTCCGGGCTAGGCTCTTGCTTCTATGATACCTTCTTCAGTTGCTCATTTTCTTCTCTCTCTCTCTTGGCATGGTCTCCCTATGTAGTGCAGGCTGGCCTTCAGCTTACTCTGTAGTCCAGGCTTGCCTCAAACTTGTAGTGATCCTCTTGCCCACAGGTGTGTGCCACCATGCCTAGTTCAGCGGCTTATGCTCTAAAAACTCATAATACTCATAAGTCTCAATGTTTTAACTATTGAGACCAGAAATCATTTTAGTATTTATCACCAAATGCTGTGCCAGGTGCTTTAAGCATCAGACAAGCAAGGTTCAAAGAGCTCAGTGATTAGTTCAGATAAAAAGTTAGTAAGTGGTGGCCCCCGGTGCACGGGGAGCCACGGGCGGGAAATGCCGGTTTTGTGACCAACGGCTTGCTCCCTGCCTCGTAGGCCCCCAGAGGGAGGGCCTCCTGAGCACAGGGAGCCACAGGTGGGGAGCGCCAGTCTTCCAGCTGGCTCACTTCCTGCCTCATAGGCCCCCGGAGGGAGGGGCTCCGGAGCACGGGGAGCCACGGGCGGGGAGTGCCGGTCTTCCGGCTGGCTTGCTTCCTGCCTCGTAGGCCCCTGGAGGGAGGGCCCCTGGCACATGGGGAGCCACGGGTGGGGAGGCAGCTCACTCCCTGCCTTGTAGGCCCCCAGAGGGAGGGCCTCCAGTGCACAGGGAGCCATGGGTGGGGAGCACCAGTCTTCTGACCAGTGGCTTGCTCCCTGCCTCATAGGCCCCTGGAGGGAGGGCCTCTGGCGCACGGGGAGCCACGGGCAGGGAGCACTGGTCTTCCAGCTGGCTCGTTTCCTGCCTTGTAGGCCCCCAGAGGGAGGGCCCCCTGGTACATGAGGAGCCATGGGTGGGGAGCGCTGGTTTTGTGATCGGCGGCTCGCTCCCTGCCTCATAGGCCCCCAGAGGGAGGGCCTCCTGCACATGGGGAACCATGGGTGGAGAGCGCCGATCTTCCGGCTTGCTTGCTTCCTGCCTTGTAGGCCCCTGGGGGGAGGGCCCCCCATGCACTGGGAGCCACAGGCAGGGATGCGGCTTGCTCCCTGCCTCATAGGCCCCCAGAGGGAGGGCCTCCTGCACACGGGGAGCCACAGGTGGGGAGCGCCGGTCTTCTGGTTGGCCCCCCTTCTGCCTCATAGGCCCCTGGAGGGAGGGCTCCTGGCGCACGGGGAGCCATGTGGTTGTGCAAGTGCTGTTGTGCTCTGGCCTTCAGTCTGGCTGCCGCCACTCAGTTGAGAACTATCATGGCACAGAGACAATGACACAACTGGCCCCCCATGCACCAGCTGCAGATGCCCACCCACGGACGTTTGTGAATCATTCAAACATGGAAAAACCCCTGGGAATACGTGCTATCCAATGGGCCACTCTTGCTCCTGCCATTGATGACCAGAAAGGTCTAGAGTCAGCAGAGGAGCAGCTGCTGAACAAGGACTCAGAGAACATGAGAATGCAGACTAAGCCCGAGGAGTCAGAGGTCCTGTGGACTGGGGTCATGAGAGCTGCTCGGAAGCTGTAAACCAGGAGGACCTTGCATAATACCTGGGAGACTCCCTGGAAACCATTCTTTCCCTGACAGTACAGGCTGTGATGGAGCTCCGGAGAAGTCTGCAGCAGGATTCCTGCTGCTTGTGCTGACAGTTGGGGAGAGGACACTAACTGGTTGTGGGGTTCCAATGTGATGGGAGCCTGGAGAGAAAATGCTACAAAAGATGACTTTCGCCCCAGGTGGCTCACTTGAATTTTGACAACCCTTAGGCTGTAACTACTTGTTAGATCCTTCTTGCATATCTCTGTCTTCCTGAGAAACCACTTCAAAGATACCACCATGTATTACAGCAGTCATTGATATTTTCCTACTAATCTATCCATAACTCTGTAATGTTTGTATTGTTCCTATCCTATTTTGTAAATGGGTGCATGTTTATTATTATGTGTTTCCTACAACAACCATTGAGAATAGTTCATGATTATTCAATAGGTCACTCATGTATAGCTCTGTTTATTTTCTTTAGAAGCCACTTTGAAGATACCAAAGTATAGTACAACAACTATTGATAATCTCCTACCTCTTTTGTCTGTAACTCACTATTATTTGTCTATTTGTTTTCCTGAGAAACTATCTTGTAGATAACAATATGTAAAACAATAACCATTGATAATTTCCTACCACTTTGTCTGTAATTTGGTAAGCCACCCCTATTATTATGTTATCCTTCTTTTATTCTTCAAAAAAAAAAAAAAAAAAACCAACAAAAAAACTAGTAAGTGGTGGAGCTTGGCTTCAACTCTAGGCCTGCTTAAGGTGGGGGCCCAAGCTCTTGTTTTTCCAAGATGTCAGTGTGCTGCTCTTCACTTTGAATGAAGTGGGTCTCTGCTGTTGTCTCACTCTGTTTAGCATTTGATAGGCATTTGTGAGAGTGAAAAGGGCCTCTTGACCCATGACTTGTTGTCCCCAAATCAAGGAGAGTCTACTGTTTTAGCTGACAGTAGAGATGGAGGCAAAGGGGCTAATTACGCTTATTCTTCATGACTGGGGTTGGAAATGAGGGCTCCTGGGAAGCAGTGGAGCATACAGGGAGGAGGGCTCACATGGCCTAGAATCCTTTGTCTTCAAGGAAGGCTCCCTACTCGGATGGCTCCTTGGAGTGAACAAGGTGCTCATCCATTTGGAGTTCAGCTGCTCATTGGAGTCACTTGTAGAGCTGGTATTATTATCTTTGTTTTACAGGTCAGGAAGCTGAAGTTAAATGGTAAAAGAATTAAATGCCCAAGCTGTGGGGACATGAAGGGAAAGATCCAGCATTCAAAGCCAGGCTTTAAAATGCCCAACCCAAGGATCTTTTTACCAGACCACTCTTGCTTCCTGCCTGGGACCTATGCCTCTTCTCCATAACAACCCAACTTCCATCCTGGTCTCTGCCTCTTCTCCCTGCTTTGTTCTCTCTGCCTATTCTGTCCCTGGTTCAGAATCCTCACTTGCAGGCAGTTTTTCACACTAACCCATTCCATTCCTGAGCCTCCTTGCCCCTTCCTTCCTCTGGCTTCACTGGTTTTCTCCTTATCACTGTGCCTTGGCTTCATTCTTTTACCAAACATCCTCAAAGGTGTTAGGGCTAGGAGTAGGGATGTGTTGACCAGAGGTGCCCAGGAGTAGGATGACCAACTCTCCTGACTTGCTCAGGACTGTCACAGTCTAAGCACTGGGAATCTCAGGCAGGGTCAGATAGTTCCTACCTACCCGGATCTATGAGGAGCTAGATTTACACTTGCTGAATGTATTGCACACATCCTATTAGTTTTGCATTTCATGGCATTGACTTTTTGAGAAATAGACACTACAATTCCCTTAATAGCTGAGGCCGTACAGTAGGAGCTTGCCTGAGATTGCACAGCCAGGAAGGAGCAGGGTTGGGAGCTGAAACCAGCTCTTCTGCCTGCACATTCCACACTCACTCTCTCTTCTAGCCCACAGTATCTCCTGGAGATGACCCATTAAACAGTTATTGAGCACAGCCAGCAGAGGACAGAGGAGGGTGATAAGGAGGTGTGGAAATTGAAATTGCCCTCAGAGCCTCTCCCAGCTGTAGGCTGCTTCTCCTCCCTGTTGCTCTGCTGCCTTCTTATTCCTACCCCTCACTCTTTCTCACCCCAATTGGCATTTCTGCCCCAGCCTTGGTAAAAAGTATTTATTTATTGCATAAAGGCAAGGGGAAAGGGACATTTTAAATTTTGGAAAAAGCTTCTGATGATGTGTAATTTTAAGCCTCTGACAATCTGTACTTTTAAGCCTACTTTATCTGCACTCTTAATTTTTGTGAGCTCACAACCCATGCCCTGTTGTGTATTCTGACCCCTTCATTTAACATTTTATCTAAGTGTTTTCCAGTTCTGTCGTATTCAAGTGGGCAAACCTGCACTTAGCCATTTATTCTGAGGCTGGAGTTTCACGTTTTCTTTCCCCTTTCAAATTTAAAGATTGTTATTACATTCTAGTCAAAAGGCATCAGCTATTTGATTCCAAACACACATGTCTGTTGGCTCTACCTGAGGCCTGTTGTCTGGGCTGGTGGTTCCCAGCATGTGGGTATATGCTATGCTGGTCCATGGATGCTTTATTATTGGTTCCTATTAAGTACAGAATTGAAGAGCAACCACTTAGGATCTTATTGTTGTTTTTAATAATAGAACAATTTTATGGTTGCTGAATCTAAAAATAAAAGAAAAATTAGGACATGTTTTATATGCCTTTGGTCCTTAAATCCTCTTTAAAGGGTAGTTCGTTTTATTTTACAAAAATATTATCTATAACAGATTAGAAGTGACAAAACAGAAAGTAGACTCTTCTAGCTTTGCACCAGATCTCCAAGGCACACCCCAAACAAATCACTAAATGGTGGAGTTGCTTAGGAAGACATCAATTAGTGATTTGGGGAGAAACTGTATAGGAACTAGATCCTGAGAGATTATTACATTCTGATCTCTCTATGGCATGAGATAAATGATAAATGATCAAGTCAGGGAAGTTTGTCTGCGATGTAATTTCTGCAACACACAGGTGTGAGGGTTTAAGCAGATGTTACTGGCTGGCAACTAAACACTAATACTCCCCTCCCAGGACTCTGAAGGGGCCCAGCCCAGCTGATGTGTGTATATATAGGGACTGAGCCAGGTTTCTCCCAAAGGAGTAAAAGCTCCTTCCCTCCCTGATCTCTGCCTTCTTCCAGCTGTGCTCTTGTTCTTGCTGTGCCTCTGGTTGCTCCAGCAACCATGAGCCGCCACTTTAGTTCTCAATCTGCATTCAGCTCAAGAAGCAGGCGGGCCTATGCCTACAGGTCTTCCTCAGGCTTTGGTGATGGGAGTCGGGCTGTGGGGTCTGTGAGTCAGGGCTGGGGGAGGCCTGGTTCTGGTGGATATGGGGGCCACGGAAGAGGGTTTAGCTCTAGGAGTCTTTTCAACCTCGGTGGCAGTAAAAGTATCTCCTTGGGCCTGGTGGGGAGAAGTGCCAGTGGTTTCCACCAGGGTAGGGGAGCAGCAGGAGGATTTGGAGCAGGCAGAAGGTTTGGGGGTTATGGTTTTGGCAGTAGTAGTTTTGGGGGTGGGAGATTTGGAGGTAGTCACCATGGAGGAGGTGGTTTGGGGGCTGCAGGATTTGGGGCTATCAATCTTGGGTCTTCGGGCTTTGGTCCTTCATATGCTCCGGGTGGCATCCATGAGGTGACCATTAATGAGAGCCTCCTAGAGCCACTTCACTTGGAAGTGGACCCTGAAATTCAGAGGATCAAGACCCGGGAACGGGAACAGCTTATGGTTCTCAACAACAAGTTTGCTGCCTTCATTGATAAGGTGAGTACCATAGGGGCAGACAGGGTCTTTGGTCACAAAATCTTTCACCCTACTGTGCTGTTTCAGTTTGACGATGACAATCACCTACAGGCATGTATGCCCTTGGATCTTAGGAGGATATTTAGGCTCCTTGGGGCAATTTTCTTTCTATTCCCTTTTGGCAGGAAAGCAGATAAATGGTGTGAAAATACTCAACAGATGTACAGTGTAGTAAGCTAATTCTCATTCATCAGTATTCACTTTTCATATACCCATGAATCTGTCCAACCATCTACTCAGCCACACACCTACCCATCTGTTCATTCAGCTATACAGCCTTTCCTTCCTCTGTGCCTCTCTTTACACACACACACACACACACACACACACACACACACACACACTCACCTACCCATCCATATACCCATCCATCAGCACACATCCATCTATCCATCCATCCATCCATCCATCCATCATTCATTCCTCCCTCCTTCCATCCATCTGTCCATTCATCTGAACACATCCATCCATCCATCCACTTGTCCACACAATCCATTCACTTATCTGTCATCCACCCACTCATACAATCCATTCATTCATCTATCCATCCATCTACCATCCATATGTAGCCATCCATCTTTCTATCAACACAGCTGCATGCACCTATTTATGCATACACACACAACCTACCCCCATTATCCACACTCATACACTCATCCATCCATATACATATTCATAAATTCAGCTACCCATCTATCTACCTATTCAGCCCATAAATATTTACTAAGCATCTATCATGTGCCAGTGATTGTGCTAGGTACCACAGGGGTGACAGGATACAAGCAGTCCCACATTTAAAGGCAAGAGAATTAACACAGAAATGTATGAGAAATGTATTAATAGGGATAAGACTCTCTGGGCCAATGAAGTTCAAAGGAAAGCATCGTAAGCTCTACCTGCTGGATTCTGGGAGAGCGTTTCTGAGGCCCTGGTCTGACCTGAGTCTTGAAGGTAGAAGAGGAGTCAAACAGCTTCAAAGAGAAGAAGGCATTTCCCGATGGAAGGACCAGGAGACATGAAAGTGTAATATCTTTTGGGAATTTCAGATGGTTAAGATTCCTGAGGAAAATGGCATAATAGGAGGATGAGGGGAGAAGTAGAGAGGAAGCTCTGGAGGTAGGCAGGAAAGTAGTCTGGGAAAGCCATACAAGGCCTAGGTGACTGGGCTTTTGCTGAGAGTGAAAGTCAGTAGTACACAATGCAGCATTCTCAGTTCCCCGTAGCTCATCCAGGGCCACAACAGGGGCAGATGCAGCCACGGAAGCTCTTCTCACTAGTTCCCTGGCTAAACCTCAGAGTAGATTTGGTTCAGGGCCAAACATCCAGGCAGAGGCTAGCAGAACAGCCATGGTAAAGATCTTCCTCTAGACCTGCCTTTCTCTCAGAGGTGGAGGCATAGTGGCCATTGCCTGCTATCAGGGCAAACACTGGGGACTGGACAGAGTATGTGACCAAGAGGAGGAGGGGTAGAGTGTTGAGGCCTAGAGGCAGCCAAAAAGTAGTTCAGCAAAGCATAGTGCTTCTGGCTACCTCTGGTGACTCTGGATTGGAAATGTGGCTAAATATCACACTACAGACACAGGCACATACTGAGAGGGTTTGATCAGAACAAGAAAGAAGGTGAAGGTGACTTTAAAGGAGGAGATATACCAAGTGGTCAAGGCTGAGGCAGGGAGGAGCAGGGAGAAACCAGTGAAATGACCACAGGCTTGTGTTACTGATTTGAGATTCTCATTGGATTATGGTTCCTGCCATTAACAGAGCATCTGTCTGGTTTTATGGCATGGGGCTGTAGGCAGAGGGCAAGGTGCAAAAGACTTCAGCTTCCTGACCCTCTGTAAGGACAAGATCTGTGATAACCAAGGGCAGAGATTCCTCAGCCAGGTGGGCTCTGGTCTGGAAGTAAGAAGGCTTCAGTTACAGGGATTCTGACCCTGGTCCCAGGACTGGTCTTCCTGTATTTCCCCTTTGCCCTGTATAGCCTTTTCTTAGCAGTGCAGCAGACCCATAGTTCCTCCATTTAAATTCTCCACTGGCTTCTTGTGTCATTTGGAATAAAAGCCAGGCTCCTACAAGACCCTATATGATGTGGCTTCCACTGCACAGATGCTGCTATAAGATTCTTTCTTTGGTCCCCACAGTGCCATTGCCACTAAGCGCAGGCCTTTGACTGAGCATTGAATTGCTTTTTCTGGGTGTGTCACCACACAGTAAAAATAGGCAGGGGCAGAAACTCCTCCCAGGGGTGTTTCGGGCTGTGTTGATAAGCTTTGTGAGAGGTGCTGATTGCCTAACCTCTTGCTTTGCTAAAGCCAGCAAAAATGAGGCATGGGAAATAGTGAACACTGTCCAGCTTAGAATCATGATCCAAAGGGGGTTACCAAGGACTGACCACTGGACGGGTAGGCACAGCAGCTGGGGTTCTGGGTACCCTCCCTGGTGTCTCAGTAAAAGGCATGCCTGCAGGGTTCTGCTCTGGTGGCACAAAGCAGTGGGTTTGTTCCTTTGCACAGCTTCTGGAGGAGGGAGCTTGACTTTGGAGGGATGTGTATGTATGAGGGGGTGTGAATGTGTGAATGTGTGGGTGTGAGTGCATGTACCGACACACACAAGTCCCTGAGCAAAGCACAGAGGCAGAAGCACCATCTCTTTCAGCACCGGGTGGGAGGCTGCATTTCTCCATTTGTGAGAAACTGGTACAGGGAAGATAAAAGCTGGTCGTTATTATGTAAAGTACCAAGGCCATGCACTTGGTCTACACAGCCAGCCACCTTTCTGGCCCTTGTATCTCACCTTTTATGGAGTTTTGAGGGAAGAGGGCATGAAAATTTAGGGAGTTGCCCGCTCCCCATTTCCTGGGCTATTAAGGAAAGAGCAACTTGAGTATTTCCCAAACACCTGCTGACCACCCAAAGGGTCACTTGAGTATATTGCACAATTTAAAAAATGAGACCATTTAAAAAAATTCCTATATAGGTTACTTTCCTGAAACTTACTGGCAGTCAGAAGAGGTGGTGGTGGCTATGGGGGGCTCCCAGGGAAGCTTTCTTAGGAATCAATTCTAATATCCCAAGCCAGTTGTCTCCTTATTTCCTCCCATCTTTAATCAACCACAAAGAGAAAGGAGCCTTGGTTTTTTGCTGTTTCCCACTTTTGGAAACACCATTTCCTTAGGTTAGCATGGATGGATTGAGTACAGAGGTGACAACTCTGTGATGTAAATGTTCGTAGCTGAATGAAACATGGCACTCATTGGAGGTGATGTAGCTTCAAAACCAGGGTGAGCTCACTGTTCATTTTAGGCAAGTTGACCCGGAGCCATTGGTCACCATCAGAAACCACATTGCTTTCTGTTTTCTTGGTCCCAGGCAAGGAGAAGCTTTCTGATCCCTAGAAGGTTCACCCTGATTCTTTTGGGGTCTGGCTTGCAATGGGGCTGCTGATCACCCTTCCTGTGGAGGAGTTGCTCTGACCCACAGCCTGGGGGTGGGCCGGGGTCCTTGCTCTTAGGTGCGATTCCTGGAGCAGCAGAACCAGGTGCTGCAAACTAAATGGGAGCTGCTGCAGCAGGTGGACACCTCAGTACGGACCAACAACCTGGAAACCTTCTTTGAGAGCTACATCAGTGAGCTGCAGAGGAAGGTGGATGTTCTTAATGCTGAGCGGATGCGCAAAGCCTCAGAGATCAAGAGCATGGAGGATGTTGTGGAGGACTACAAGAACAAGTGAGGCACCCGTAGGATAAAGGGGTTGGGAAACAACACAGGAGGGAACTGATTCACAACGGGCAAGGCATTCTGCTGCAGTGTTCATGTGTGAGAGGTGGGACTGGGATAGTGAGGTGCAGTTGTGTGGGCTGTGCACTGCACGGTACAGGAGACACCACTGTACACAGGGCAGCCTGGTAGGATGGAACTGTCAGTTGTACTGAGGGGGGAGGGGCAGGATTGCTTTTGTGGATGTTAGAACCAAAAAGGCTCTGCCACTCTGCCATTAGCTGCTAAGTTCTTTGGTTCTCACATTAAAATGAGGGTAGTAACTTCCTTGATGGATTATTGTGACAGATAAGTCTATGGTTCTCAAACTGTGGCGTGCATCAGCTTGCTGAAATCAGATCACTGAGCTCCACCCCTAGAGTTTCTGCTTTAGTAGGTCTGGGACGGGGCCAGAGCATTCTCATTTTTAACATGTTACCGAAAGGTGCTGATGCTCGTGGATTGGGGACCACACTTTGAGAAGGACCTGTTAAGATGAAATTATGCTTAGCAAGTTCTTTGTACAGTACCCACACATGCCAAGCAGTCAATAAATGCCAGCTGTTATTAATAATAATGTTAGGGGTTGCACGAATTGTCAAACAACATCAGCTGTTCTTGAGCAATTGTGCAGATGACTCAATGGTTTCTCTCTCTGTCTTCCTCCCTGATACACTTGTATAGTGCCAGGGAGACCCAAGGGAGTGTGAGCCAGCAGGGGAAAGTCAAACTCATACTGGAAGTGCTGGGGGGCAGAATTGTAGGGGCAAATTTTTCTTAAACAATTCAGTAAAAGTGGTGGTTACTTTATGTTTTTAATGGAGAGAAAAATGATGGAGTTTGACATATTTATAAAGGTAAAACATCAGAATAAAAATGGGCATTTTGGGAGCTTTCTGTGTGGCTCCAGGTTTCTTAGCTGGGTTACTGCCCCTCTGCTGGTTTGGGGAACTGAGATTTGGCTTCAGAGCTCAGCAGGGTGAGCACCAGGCCCTGGCAGCGGCCAATGAGCATTGTGAGCCAGGGTCTCGGAGTCCAGGACAGCAGAGATTTGGGGAAGCCTGAGCTTTCTGTGGTGAACAGATGCCTCAGGGAGCCAAGGTCAGCCCTGCAGCTCTCTGTGCTCCTTGCCTTCCCCCAGGTATGAGGAAGAAATCAACAAGAGGACCAACACTGAGAATGAATTTGTGGTTCTGAAGAAGGTAAAGGAAAGGGAAGTCCCAAGGGCGGCGGTGGACCCAAGAGATCGGGTAGAGTGAGATACTCCAGTGGGATGTTTGGTGACATGGACAGAATGACTTCTAGGGCCATCTTGATGCGCGCAGTCCAAAGTTAGGGCTCTTATGCTGAAGGGCAAGGAAATCTGAAATGGATGTTGCTAGGATTCTGTAGAATCGTCCTGTTCACATCTCTCCAGGCTTCTTAAAGTGACAGTAAATTAGCTGACAGCTTTTGAGTGTCAGTTCTGTGTGTCCTTGGGACTGGGGAAGTATCGGGTGCTGTATGTGTAGCTGCCAGAGGAATGGTGGTTTGTGTCATGCCTCCTTCTCCTTTTGGCCAGGATTGTCAGGGTTTGCAGGTTTCTGATTTGACTGAGGTTGAATGTTGGCATTTATAGGCCAGGAAAAAAATTCAGGGAGATTTTGTCATTTGCCTGGGCCACCCAGCAAGCTTGCATGCCAGAGATTCCTGAGTGACAGTGTCAAACATCTTTGTTTCTTCTTTAGGATGTGGATGCTGCTTATATGAACAAAACGGATCTGGAATCCAAAGCAGACACATTGTTTGAGGAGGTCAATTTTCTAAAATATTTATTTGAAATGGTGAGTTCAGCTCTTATGAAGGACTCCTTTCTTTTCTCACAAGGGGTATGGATTGAAAGAGGGAGGTCTGGAACCTAACACTCCCCCCTAGAAACTCATCTCCCCAGGTCCCCAGCTCTGTGAGTCTGGAGTCAGCCATCCTCCCAACCCCCAATTTTCAGAGCTCCTGGGTGAGGGGAGTGGAGATGAAGTTTTCTCTGCTTCATGGTGTCCAATCCGTCTGGAAAACGATGTTAACACTGGGACATATAGCAGAAAAACCAACCAGAAACCTTCATGCACATGCACCATGGTGGGGAGCTGATGGGGTCATTAGAGAATTCTGCAGAAGATGACAATGTGGATCTTAGAGGGAGTGAAGACAGACAGCAGGGGTACGGTATGCTCTTTCATCCTGATCCTCCTGTTGCCTGTGTCTGATTGGATATATGCTGTGTTAGGAGCTCTCCTTATGAGATGGGCATCTCCATTCTACAGAAGAGAAAGCAGAGACAGTGTAAGATTAAATTACTTGCTAGGTCACCCAGCTAGTCAAATGAGTGGCTCCCTAGCTGGAGTCCCTTCTGTTGCTTCAAAACTCTCATGGTTTTGAGGGGGTTAGTATACATGTTGAGGGCCTCAGCTCCTGGCAGCCAGGTGAAAATAAGGCCAGGATGGAGGGTCTGGGAGAGGCATGATGGGGAGTTGTTTCCTTCTTCCTGGAGGCTAAGCCTGGGCCCCATTACCTTTACCTAAGGTAGTTAGGACTCTCCCATTCACCCACAATTTAAAGACTTTCTCCCAAGACTCCTGCTGGCCCAGGCTTGTGGCTTCTCCATGGAAACTGAAGACTCTAGGGTGGGAGTGAAAGGAATCAACACAATTCCATGTATCATAGGAGCTGTCCCAGATGCAGACCCACATCAGTGACACTAATGTCATCCTATCCATGGATAATAACCGCACCCTGGACCTGGACAGCATCATTCAAGCAGTGCAGGCTGAGTATGAGCTGATCATACAGAGGAGCAAGAATGAGGCTGAGACGCTGTACCAGACCAAGGTGAGCAAGGCCCCCAGATTTGCACCCCCAAATAAATAGATATTTCCAAGGATTGGTATCATCTTCCCTTTATTCCTAAAGTACACCATGTTATAGAAACTTTAGAAATTATGGCTAAAGGTTACCAATAACTCATCACCCTAGTTCTGCCAGTTATTTGCAGCTAACATTTATGGAGAACTCACAGGTTCCAGGCACTATACACATGCTTAATATATCTTCTCATTTAATCCCTAAAACAATCCCTACAGGTAAGGATTTCATTATCACTATTTTACAAATAATACAGTGTGAGATTCCCTAAACTTCGTAGCAAGCAAATGGCACCAGAGCCTAATTAAACTTGGGTGTGCTGTTTACAAACCCTTATTCTTAATCACTACAGTGCTTTTAGTTGTTTCATTATAGTATCCATTAAAATATAACTTTGTACTTTTCACCCTTCTGTTTTACTTACCACTTATGAATACCTTACTATGATAGTAAATATTCTACATTCCAGTACAACATATCCTATTATGAGACTCTCATGGTTTATATCCTATTATGGTTTATATCCTATTATTTTATATCATATCCTATTATGAGACTCTACATGCTCCCATATTAGAGAAACATATACATAGTTAAGTCCTTGGGAATATCTTTGGTTACTTTTTTTAACCATAAATTGACCCGGGCCTTTTCGGATGATGAAGACTATAGGTGAAGGGATAAACATGACAGCCAAGTTACCAAATCCTGAACAGCTGGCACTGGATGATATGCTCTGCAAATTATTTAAGGCCAGTTCCAATCCTGGCTGATCTCTGTCTGTCCCACTGTTCCACAGATAGATATTCTTGGATGGAACGGATTTTGGTATTGAACTGGGAAGGCATGTAGTCAGTAGTGAAAACATCAGAAAACTGGTTCTCTTGAATCAACTCTCCCTCCATCATGCCCTGTGGGATAGAGATAGAAATAAGAGAAAGAGGGAGAGAAGGAAAAGAGGGAGTGAGGGAAAATAGGGAGAGAGAGGGAGAGGGAGCGAGCAAATGTGAACAAACATGGAACACGCTGAGGGCATCTGAGGACAGGTGGTTCTCCCTCATAGGGAAAATCATCCTGGAGAAGGGTAGGAAATAAAATGGTAGAGTGGAAAAAGTGAGGGGTTCCAGTGTGGATAAGGACCAGTGTGAAAGTTTAGCTGTACAAAAAATGAGGTTAAAAAAAGCATCAAGAAGCAAGGTTTGCTGGCTGAGATATGAGCCTGCTCAGAGAATGGTAGGAATAAAGGAGAGTTGGTACACAGGTGTGTGTGTGTGTGTGTGTGTGTGTGCATGCATGTGTGTGTGTTTGCCGCTCAGGTGAGAAGTTTGGTACGGGTGCACGTGTGGTACCACAGTTATAGGTGGGCTTATTCTGGAACTTCCCAGGGGAGAACAGCATGGACCCATCCCTTTCTGGGGGAGCTCACAGTGAGCAGCAGGTGCTGACCATGATGTGCCTTTGACCCTTAGTACCAGGAACTCCAGATCTCAGCAGGAAGACATGGAGACGACCTGAAAAATACTAAGATGGAGATTTCTGAGCTCAATCGCAACATCCAGAGGATGCAGGCAGAGATTGCCAGTGTCAAGAAGCAGGTGGGATGGGTGCTCAGAGTGGGCTGACAAGAGTGGGCCCTGCCTCCCGCTGTGCCCTGCCAGATCATGCTCCCCAAACTCAACACCTACTTAGTGGTTCTCCAACTCTCTCTGATGTAGATTGAACAGGCACACTCGGCCATTTCGGATGCTGAGGAGAGAGGAGACCGGGCCCTCCAGGATGCAAAACAGAAGCTACAGGACATGGACGAGGCCCTGCAGCACTCCAAGGAGAACTTGGCCCGGCTGCTGCGTGACTACCAGGCAATGCTGGGGGCCAAGCTGTCCCTGGATGTGGAGATCGCCACCTACCGCAAGCTGCTGGAGTGTGAGGAGCTCAGGTGAGTGTGGCAGCAGGTGAGTGTGTTCCCAGCCAAAGCTGAGGATGCAGCCATGGAGTGGTGGGACTGTTTGGAGAGAAGACGATCTTCTCTATTCTTCTGGGAAGACTGGTAATCTAGGGTGGAGAGAAACACTCACTTTAGAAGCACAGGCTGTGTGAGTTGCTAGGGTGGAAGTCATTGGGATCATAACCCAGACTCCCAGCCCCATGTGTCCACGCCCCTACCCAAGCCACTGCAGCCAGGTGGCGACTCCCATGCCGAAAGGCTTCTGAAAGGCTGAAGGTCCTGCTAGTCCCACTGGCCCCTAGCCTCTGCTATGCACACACATTTCCCCGGAGTCTTGGGGACAGCTATCTCTTCACACAGACATCTCTGCTCCTGGCGTCCTCTGCTGATGTCTTCAGACCCCCTGGGTCTGGCTGATGTGTATGTTTTGCTTTTGCAGGATGTCGGGAGAGCTGCAGAATCAAGTAAGCATCTGTAAGTAGCAGGGTTGAAGGACAGAAGTGGCTGATGCTGGGCAGAGGGCAGGGCTGGGGAAGGTTGCCAGGTGGTGGGCAGTAACTGGCATGTGGCATTTTAGCTTCCAATCCCGTTCAAAGAACTCAAAAGTAAGCAAAGAGTGCTGCAGAGTGGAAGAATTGGTTGAAATAAATGGTTATGATATCAGGTCTGCTTATCTTAATTTTGACGATACTTAATCAGCAGCCTGTGGACGTCTTCAGGATAGGTACTCAGTAAACAAAGAATGTGTTATTGAAAGGCCGAGGAGCGCTTTTTAAGTGGAAGGATTTTTGACTACCAGTGTATCTGTTTGCATGTTGGTCCACCAAGGGTCAAAGATGTAGGAGGCTGCCGATGTCAGGGTGGGTACAGCTGGGTCCCCCTGCAGGGTCCTTCTGATCCTCTGCTCTGTCCTCTACCCCACAGCGGTGCAGAGCAGCCAGGTGACCATGAGTGGCAGCGGCGGCGGTGGAGGTGGCTCCGGAGGTTATGGAGGCGGCAGCTATAGCAGCGGCGGGGGCAGTTCTGGAGGCCAAGGTTCCCATAGGGGCAGTGGCGGTGGCTACGCGAGCGGCAGCGGCGGCGGGAGCTACGGAGCCAGCAGCAGGAGCAGCAGCAAGTACCGTGGCGGCAGGAGCAGCGGCGGTGGCGGCTCCTCGCGTGTGCAGATCATCCAGACCTCCACCAACTCCTCCCGCAGGCGGTTCGTGGAGTAGAGGCCGAGCTGAGGCGGTGTCAGAGTTCCGCACTCCGAGAAGGCGCGGGACTTCTGTTAAGGCCCCCCAACCCCTCCACACTCTCCCTGACTCTCACTTAGCTCTACCTGAGGGATCTCAGAAATTTTGTCCATAAATTCAGTTCTAGGTGGGGAAGCAGGGTGGCTAAACCCAGTTAGCCCTCTCTCTTTGGAGGGCACTGAATCTGATGTCACAGTCAGACATCTCCTTATCGGGCCTCCCCTAGGCTGCCTCTGCTCCTGTCCCTGGGGAAACTTCACAGCCTAGTTAAGAGGTGGAGGGAAAGAGCCTATGAAGCAGCTTCACCACAGAGAATCCAGAGTTGATGTCAACTACACCAAAGGTCTTCCTCCCAGGTGCTTTGCCCACACCTGGGCCTCTCCATGAGCAACAGTCCATCCCTTGGGGACCAGGGAATAATCCCTTTGGACAAGTGGCTGATTTCCCAGAAACTAGCTCGGTGAGGTACCTTTGTACCAGGGCCAATTCCTGCTTCATGGTCTGTAGCCTCACACTTGCATGTTGGTGGCAGGTGTAGATTTGCTGCCTACATCATATGCCCATAGGTCACACCTGTCCTGATCCTGTCCCCAGAAATGTTATCCCCAGTACCAGGTGGGAGTATTCAGCAGCCAGGTGAGCACATCTTGTCTAAAAGAGGAGTATATCCTTGTCCAAAGGGAGGATTGTCCTTAGCAGTGGGTGGAGGGGTGATAGACAGTCAAATTCTGCTTCTGTCCTGCCCCTCCAGCCAGCTCCATTCTTTGGAAACCTGTCCCTTTCCAGAGCCTTCTCCATTAGGGCTGTGCTGAGAACTGCTCCACGGGCTTGGTACCTGCACCCCAGCTCTGCTCCAGGCCCCGGGCCCAGGAGTGTGAGCATCTGTCTTGGGTTTTGGGCTTAGGTCCATCTGAAATCTCCCCATTTTTTGCAAGGCAGTTGGTGGTTTTTTCTAAGACCTTGTAAGTTCCTCTGCCTTCTGTTCTCTGTGGCTCTGAGTACTTTGTGAGACTGTAACTCCTAATTCAGAGTCATATATAAAATGCTTGAAATGTGTTGGAGGTGTAGGAGGGGGAACTGACAGAGGGAGTGTGGTTTGCTTCTCAGATCTGGAGTCTACTTCATGTACTTGGCAAGTCTACACAGCCACCGTGTCCGTGATTCTATCAGGGCATTTGATGGGTCCCGTATGGGCCCCTTGGGGAGGGCTTATGACTTCATCATTTCTTGGTCAAAAGTTTTACCCTCTGGGCTTGGCATTTCTGTTCTCTTTAAAATAAAATGTTCTGTAATCTCAAAATACCATTTGGTCAGATGAGTTAATTCTTTAATTTTTTTCAGGTCTTTGAAATTGCTTATACTTGGGAAGTTGAGATTTATTACTTTTATTATTTTTATTGTGCAACCACCACACTATCTTGAAGATCCTTGCAGATATCATTTTTACTAATCCTTAAAGTGGCCTATTGTTCAAGAGTCACTTATACATTGTTCAGTGGCATTTATTAACTTCCTGTCAAGTGGTCAGCTGTGGCATAGGCACTGGGAATTTGAGGTTGCATGAACATGTTTCTGAATGTTCAGGTGCTCACAACTCAAACGATGTAGTATGAGGGACAGGAAGCTTCAGAGGGAGGAGAAACTGGAGTGTGTGCCTCTGTGCTTCACCTAGCTTGAGGGTGGAAGCCAGGACCTGAGGATGCAGACAGATCCACCAGAACAGGAGTAGTGAGACCTTCCGCAGGTACCAGTGCTGTGGGAGGGAAGTTTGGTCTCAACAGCCTTCTGGAAGACTGTAGGGGCTGGGGATATAGCTCAGAGGCATAAGTGCTTGCCAGGCAAGCCTGAGGTCATGAGTTTGATTCCCAGTACCAAAAAAAAAAAAAAAAAAAAATCTCATATGGAGGACAGGCAAGAGGAACGGGACTGGAAACAATGGGGACAGGCATTGGATGTCATGTGACTGGTTTGCTCAGAGACTCAGAGAGAGGGTGAATATGTGTGAGTGAAAGGGAGAAGCAAGACAGGAGAAACAGCTGGGAGGCTCATTAATTGCGTGGGGGTCAAGGGGGGTTTTCTTTAATTGATGCCTTGAGGGAGGTGAAGATGCAGAGATTTAAAAAGGGAATGAGGTAAACCATCGCCTTACCCTGTGAAGTGTTTTTGAATCCCTGAAAGGAGTCACATGAAGGCTGTGATTTGCTTTCTCACTTCCTGAAGGAATACGGTTGGAATTTGCACATGGGATTTACTCAAATATGATTGCTGCCCATACTGATAATATGTTATGTTCTCAGGCACACCCAAAGTTCTCTCTGACAAGTTTCTCTGCATCTCTCCTGTTGTAATAGCAGGTCTGTTGGAGGCAGGCTGGGCAAGGAAAAGATGGGTAGAGTGTGTTCTCAAAAGGACAAAGACGGGACAAAGAGATGAAACCCAAGGGCACAAAGACTAGGCAGGAAGACCTGGATAGACAGCAGTGACCATAAAAATGATTGAAAGTGTTCAGCTGGCAGTGACAACACACCAGTCACTAGGGTGTGGTGGCTGCTGGGTAAGGCCGTGGGAACCAGGAGGAGGAGAGCCAGGAGGAGGGCTTGTGTAGGGCCTTCTGTCAGCAGGCCACTCCGGGGCTGTGAGTGCCAAGGGCAGTAGTAAGAGAAGTCTACTCAGAGGAGAGCAATCAGGACAGCGGTGATGGGGAGCCAGAAGGCTGGCTACATGAAGAATGGTTGGAGGACCTGAAGAAAAGTCTCAGGAGAAAGACGAGAGCTAAGTGCAAAGATCTAAAAAAGTTCCTTAGGAAAGGGGGATTTGGTCTCAGCTAATGACCCAGATGGATAGGTAGAGACTACAGCAGATTTAGTTGCATGCAAGAAGCACCTTCCTATGGTCCTGAGATAGGAAGGGGCACCTGGGGAGTTACCAAGTTTCAAGCAGAGGTTGGCTAGCCACGTGGAAGGAGGTTGAGGGAAGGAGGATGGGTGGGGACATGTGTATGGAGCATTTTACATCTTTGTGGCTCTAAGAGTTCGTATAGCAGAGCCTGAGAAAAAAGAATTGCACACTCCATGTTTAATAGAAAGAATAAGGTCAAATGCCAGGGAAGGAGAAAGTCATGGAGAGGCCTTAGGGCCTAGCTTGGATCATAAAATGAATCCAAAGTTCTGGCATCATCAGACCTATTACAGGGCCTGGATTAATCACGTGCCTGTGTATGATAGGGAGGAATATAGGTTGACTCTTGGGAAAAAGCACAAGAGCAAGGCCAACCAGAGGTCATCTTTCCTGTTCCTCTCCTGGGAAGGAATCAGGATTGTCCCAGAAAATATGACCCTGATCTTTCTCTTTAGAAGACTTAACCGTCTCCATCAGAGAGGACTAGGGGACAGATGGAGCCAACCTGTGCCTAGGACTACTGGAGCAGAAATATCACAGGGCAGATGCATGTGAAATAAAAGTCCAAAGAAAGAGGAGTTAAGCAAGGAAGTCTTCAGTGTCTAGAAGAGCAGTTGGTGATTGATGTTCTCAGGAGAAGGAAGTTCCTCTAGGCACTTGGGCAATGGGGGTGTTAGCACCATAAGACGCTGGTGGAGGTTTCTGGTATGGATAGTGACAGGTGCCATCAGGAGTGAATGCTACTCACCTTCAGGTCACCCCAGTGACGATAACAAGCAACTTCACAACTCATACAAAGTGCTGCACATTCATTATCTCTTGTGATTCTCACTGTCTCTTTGAGAGCGCGGGGAAGGCCACACATGGGGGCTCTGCGTTCCTTCAGGGAAGCATAGAGCACTCCATCCTCACCCTGATCAATGTTTCCCACCAGGAAGATACTCAGAGGGACAGCAGAGCCACCTGATCCATTCATCAGACACTGTGGGTGTGAGATCTCAGGGGAAGTTTGGCAGCTGCTCCTCCCTCTGGAAGGTTTTGGCAGGGTGGGGTGCTCTGGAAGTCTAAATTTAATTCCACCAGCTTCTCAGACTCAGATTTTTATCTCAGGACATGGTTGACACGAGAAGCAACAACTGGCTAAATAAAATTCTAACTCCTTTTGACCTTGGATCAGATGTTCACTTCTGGGCTAAGAAAGTCCTTGATCTAAGGAAAAGCCTTGAGATGGTCACCTCATCCTCATCACACTTTGGCCTGGGTGATATCTTCAAATTAGTGAGCCAGACTCTCCAATCGTCTCTCTTCAAACACATTGTAACTCCCATGATTTTGTTGGACCTGCTTCCCCGGTTTTATCAGCTTCCCAGCCAATCCAGGAAATAGAACATCTTCAGGTTGATCAACACCCTGTTAGAGGGTGAGGCTGGGAACTTGATGTGTTGGGAAGTTCTCCAGTATGGACAGTTGGTTCCAAATGGCCCAATCCTAAACCAGGAAGGGCTCCCACCCCCGGTCTAGTGTGTTAAGCATGAGGCCAGTGTCCTCCCTGCAAAGCAGGCTCTCCTCAAAGTGAGCGGGGTGCTCCTGGCATCTGGCCTTAGCTTTCTTCAGCATCAGGTGCACCCACCACCACTAGTAAGTGTTGGGTCCCTGGCTTCCCTGTGACAGCTTTATGGGCCCTCTAAGGCTTTCTCTCACAAGTGATCTCATTTTAAGAGCTTAAACTTCCTTTCCTAGTCTTTCCAGTGTTTCCCATGAAATGGGGCTGTTCCAAAGAGTTTTGACTGTTAGATCACTTTTTGGGTCCTTCTAAATGCAAGACAAGAGAGAATCCTTCTTCTTCTCTTTATCGTGTATACTTTGCAGTCTCCTTGGAAAGCACATATAGTCCCCATTTGCAAAGGAGAAAATTTAGGCTCCAAACAGGTTGGTGACCTGCCTAGGGTCACACAGCTAGAAAGATGCAGCCAGGAGAGAAGACAGGATGGGTTGACTCCACGGCAGGGAGTATGACAAGGTCTGCTGCCTCTCTCCTACTGTGTATCTTTAGCTTCCTCTTGCCTGCCCTGGGCTCTGCTCTCACACTATCCTGAGTGGCTCTGGGGCTTCTCTCCCTGCTGTTTGTCCTTGTCAAGCCTGCCCCTCTCTTTGCACCTCTCCCTCCCGCATAAAAAACCTTCGCCCCTCCTCTGCTGCTTCTTGCTTTCAACATCTCATCCTGCCTCCCCATTGTCTAGGACTCCCCTGTACTCCTCCCAGACTTTGACTTTCCCCACTCTCCTGAAATTCCCTCTCCCACGTCTCTGGTGGAGTCCCGCAGGGCTGGGTGGCTTGTCACTGCATGCTTTTCTTGAATCCTTTTCCAGGCTCCTCCTTTAAGAAGCTCTCAAAACATCACCATACCTGCCCCTGCCCATGCCCTACAGCCTGCCTGTGGCAACCCCAGCCATCACTGCTGGGCTGTGAGTTCCACACAGGTGTTTTGGTGCTATATGGTCTAGTTCTGCCTGGGGTACCCCTTAAGTGCAGGGAGCCAGAAGATGCAGTCTTGCTTCCAAAAGGCTTACAGATCGATTGGGGATGGATGGTCACCAAATACACAAACAGACACACATGCCAATGGGCTAAGGCATGCATCAGTTTCAGTTGGATCTGGTAGCAATTGATCTCAGGAAGATTAACCCAGAGAGCAGCTATGTAGTATTAATCAAGGAGAACTTCCTGGAGGAGAGGAGAACTGGGCTTGGCCCTAGCCCCATGGAGCAGGAGGAAGAAATACATTTGCATTCAAGGGGCCTGAAAACAGACTCAGGGTGAAAAGCTCAGGGCTTGAGATATTTGGGTCCTGGAGCATGACAGTGGGAAGGGGTTTGAAGAGAGCTGCCAGGGCAACCAAAGGTCTCACAGAGAAGAAAGAAGCAGAAGTGAGCTGGGAAAATTGAGAGAAAAAGAAAAGGGTTGAACCATCTAGGGAAAGAATTGGGGAGGAAGGGTCACATCATGAGGCTGGGCAACGGGTGAGCAGGGAAAGGTGTAGCTGGTGCAGGCAGTGAAGGAAGGCAACCCAAGGACAACAGCCATTATTCTGGAGTTGGACAATTTGGCATGTCAATTACCAGCTGGGTGACCTTGGACACACATTTTAACATCTATGAACCCAAGCAGTCTTTTCTGGGCCTAGTAGCTACCATCTTGAGGCTATTTTGTGACATTTAAGTGAGATGTAGCTCCTACCATGTAGTTGGTGCCTTGCAGATATTAGTGCCTCTTTGCTGTCTCATTTTATCTTTATTTGGTTAATGCAGAGTATATACATAAGGCAGTAGGGAGGATCACAACTTTGCTCCATGTGTGATTTTTAATATTCCCATGTACCTACTACAATCTTAATGATTTAAAAGAAATGATGAACTTGGTTAGTCAATAGCACCGCACCTTCTGGGCTGCCTCAAAAAGTAAGCAGTGAAAAGGAATTTGATTCAGTCATTAGAGGATTCCCAGGAATCAATAATATGGGCTGGACAAATTTTGCTTACCTCCCTGGGCTCATGTTCTTAATCCTCGGTTGGGTAAGTTAGATGCTGTGGACTTTGAGCACCCACAGATGTTAATATTCCGCTATGTTCTGCACTCATTTATAGGAACCAGTCCCAGTGACTTGTCTTGGAATCTCTTTTCCAGTGTAGGAGGAAGATTACCAGAAAACCAAGGATCTAGTCCCAGATGTGTCTTTTCCTAGCTGAGAGTAGAGTAAATCTCTCTGAGCCTCAGTTTGTATAATCCTTTGGAAGTAGCTCGATGACCTAATTCTCAGGGCTCTTGTAGGAACATTGTTTGTGTATGTGCTTGATGGAGGTGATCTACGCAAATGTAAGCTGATGGTGATTTTTATGCCTTCTTGTTCCTTCTAGTTCCTGATTTTCTGCCTTTTCATGGTACCTCTTAGAACATGTTTGCAGCACTGTAAATTGTGCATCAATTGCTTGACTATTGCCTCTTTTTTTCTCTGTCAGTTTTATAGTTTGGAAGCACAGATCACTGCAAGGATCTGATTTTGTTTGGCACAAACATGCACACTCATATGCATGCATGCATATATGCACACTCCTCCAAAATGCTAGAAGGAATCGATTGTATGGAATGATATGCCTCATGGGGAGTATGCTGAACTAAAAGAATTTTGATCGCCTGTCCCAAGATGATTAGGCAACAGTTATTATTATGCCAAGACCATCCCACTCCCCATTGTTCCCAAGACCTGGATTACTCATTCCCTAAAGAGATGATTAGTTTAGCAGCTTAAGGACATTAGTGCTAATATGGAGTCCCAGACAACAGTGCCGTGGAGATGGGGGAGGGGAGTAATAATGAGGTGAGGATCACTTCTAGAGGAAGGTATATGGCAAATGCCATGGAAAGAGAGGAGGGAGAAGGCTTGATAGTGAGGAAGGGATGCAGAGAGTAAAGATAGTGTCTTGGCTCAGAGACAAAAGGCAACCGGCCCAAATGGCCTTCATAAACTTCCTTATCCTGCAGATTTTGCATTCCAGAGTGGACATTTTCCATGTAAGTCTATGACTTGCTGCTCACAGAACTGCTTACAGCCAGCTGAAGTTAAAGTAGCCTTCTGCCCACAGACTTTTCCATTCTATACTTATATGCAAGTGTCGGGGAGAATGCCAGGCTTCTAAGGGGCTGGGGATTTAGCTCAGCGGCAAAAGCGCCTTCCTGGCAAGTGCAAGGTCGTGAGTTCGGTTCCCGGTACCGGAGAAAATCCCTCCCCCCCCCAAAAAAAAGAATGCCAGGCTTCTAAGAAGTCTTAGAATGAAAGTCTGTGTAGGATTCTGGTCTTTCCAGATCTCAATGTCACTACTATCCATTAATATTGATCAAACGATGCTCTCAAGGAAGGCCCTGGGGTTTCCTAAACCATTGCAAAGCATGCTGGGTCCTCTCACATGGAATCAGCTTCTCCCTGCATTCTGCACCTCCAATCTCTTTTTCAGAGTGAATCAAAACACACTTTGCAAGTATTTGTGCTTGCCAGGCCTTCTGTCTTCAAGCCCTGCACAGGAGAGGCAGCTTCCCATGCTAACTGGCTTTACCTGAAGTGAACAGGGAGACTTGACCTTGCTTTGCTGTCTACAAGGTGTTGGGTCAGGTCTTGCACACTGTATGTAGCCGGCTGTCCTCAGCTCAAATCCCAATGACCATGCTGTTTGTTACCTGTGTAGACTTTGGCAGGCTTTTCAAACTCCATGCAGCAGTTTCTCATTTTAAAAACAAAGCTGTTGTAAAAATTGAGTTACTATGTATAAAATATGCAGAAGAGTATGTAGTACATGGCTGGACTTGATATCATCATCATCATCATCATCATCATCTTCATCCCCATCATCAGTATTATAATCACCTCTAGAAATGATGCAAGTTTCTCAGATCAAGTTTTCAAAACTCCCAGTATTGTCCTCCCTTTAAATCTACCCTCATCTTTCTTACTATCCAGTGTGAGGCTTGGGCAACTGGCAACTCCTTTGCTTTACCAAATGCATCACATATCTACTCGTCTCACTGCTCCACTTGCTTTTCCATTGGCCTTTGCATGCCACTCATTGATGCCTGATTTCTGTTGTTGGTGTCTCTGTTGTCTGGTTCCTGCCCTGATCTGTCTTGGGAGGAAAGGAATAACTGGGAAACTTAGAAGAGAACATGTCCTTCCTTCCTGGTCCCGCCAGAACATTTACTTATCCATCCTGTTTGATGACAGCTCCTTTTCCTCCAGTCAATCCATGCAGCACATTTATAAAAGCTGGCATTAGAAAAATTTAATTTTTTACTTGTTAAAGCCCTTAGTCTCCATCAGGAGACTAACTTGGTGAGGTTTGGTGCTGGGGGTGGAGGAGACGGGCAGGTCTCAGTTGGGTCAGAGAGCTCCTTCAGAGATGCAGACATGGAGTATTGCACCTGTTGCTCCCAGTGAGAGCATGCTTAGTAGCTTACAAGGACAAGGCAAAAATAGAAACTCACATATCTTTATGACAGTAATTATGAAATCCTTCTAAGAGACAGCAGGTAGCAGATGTGGGGTCCTATTTTCCAAAGCCACAAATGCTTTAATAGAGATCTTGTCTGATAAAAGGATTACCACATGAGCCAATCTTGCCTGCACAGCAATTTTGAGAGCCCATTCTGGGAGGTAGGTGTGTAGTGTTTATCGTGCTGTTGGGGCTCGTAAGAAATCTTGTATGGCTGCAGGCAACCAAACCCTTTAGAGGTACTGCATCTCCGATGACTCTGGAGGACCAAGCCCAATTTCCTCCCTGTATATAAGGGGAAGTCTCAGGGCTCAGGACAGAGGAGTGCTTGGCTCCTTTCCTTTCTTCTTTGCTCCTACTGCTCTCAAAGCCAACATGAGCCGGCAGTGTAGCTCCAGGTCTGTGTGCCGGAGTGGTGGAAGAGGCTTCAGCTCTGGCTCTGCAGGGCTGGTCAACTTCCACCATAGATCCTCTAGCAGCTCTGTGCGCCGCAGCGGAGGAGGTGGCGGGAGATTTTCAGGAGGATTCTGCGGGAGTGGAGGAGCTGGTGGTGGTTTTGGAAGCAGGAGTCTTGTTAACCTTGGTGGCAGCAAGAGCATCTCCATCAGTGTGGCTAGAGGAGGTGGTCGTAGTGGTTTTGGTGGTGGCTTTGGTAGTGGCTATGGTGGTAGCTTTGGCAGTGGTGGTTATGGCGGTGGTGGTTTTGGTGGTGGTGGTTTTGGCAGTGGCGGTTTTGGCAGTGGAGGCGGTTTTGGAGGTGGTGGATTTGGGGGTGGTGGATATGGGGGTGGTTTTGGGCCTGTCTGCCCTCCTGGTGGCATACAGGAAGTCACCATCAACCAGAGCCTTCTGCAACCCCTCAATGTGGAAATTGACCCTGAGATCCAAAAAGTGAAGTCTCAAGAAAGGGAGCAGATCAAATCACTCAACAACCAGTTTGCCTCCTTCATTGACAAGGTGAGTTTTTTGGCTCAGTATTCTGGGGGGAGCCGCTTCTGTTTCCTCTGAGACTGGAGAAGCCAAAACATATATGTGTTTAACCATACATTTCTGTGTTTGGACTGCTGAAAAGATACTTGTGGAATGGGCTTCTAGGAGATGTATTGGAAGTTTGCTTGGGAATGATGCTAATGACTAAACTCCCTGGACAAAGAGCCCATTGTGATGGATCTAAGCTTGGGTCAGTTGGATGTTTACCTTGAAGTATTCCTTACTTATTTCTTGAGCTGAACTGGCACTCAAGCTGAATGAAGAAAATAGAAATGAAGCTAACAGAAATTTCAAGTGTGCAAATGAGAACTGAGCCATAGAAAGAGAACTGAGTGTGAGCGGAGTGACTTGTGCTGCTTAGCGGAAACAATAGAGTGAGTCAGTGCCAAACAGCTTTTGCTGTTAGAGGGGAGCTCTACCTCTGAGAATTTCATATCGGTTCTAGGTCAGGGTACAGATTGTTTTATACTAACAATTCCAATCATCAGTTCTGGAAGAACATTCAAACCGTTTTTTCCTTTTGTGCTTAACGGTGAATAATGTCAATCCAAAGTTATCCACAATGAATTTCCACTCCAAATCTGGGATTTTCCCAATGTCATTTTTAAGTGCATATATACCCAGGTAATGAAAACTAACTCTTATTGGCTAGCTAC